CAACCTTTTCATCATCCTTCTTTTCAACCTTTTCATCTTTCTTCTCCACCTTCTTTTCGATTTTCTCTTCCATACTAACATCAAAATTATACTCATAACTACTTCCACGTCCTTTAGCAATATCATTTAAAAACTTTTCAATCCCTTCTTCATCAAATGGGCCAATATGAGGACGATAAACCTTTCGATTTGGATTAAGAATCATTAAATTTGGAAACATATCCGATAATTTAAAATCCTTTATCAATTTCTTAGATTCCTTTGATAAAGCATTAAACCAGAAAAATCGTAAACTAAGTTTTTTATCAATTGTACTTTGTTCATGGAATTTCTTTTTTACTTTACGAAGAATTTCAAGATTGTTAGAATGTTCAGCAACAGATTCTGGATATTCTGGTTCAAGTATGAGATATGTAAATACACAAAGACCAAGTGGTTTTGAAAGACATTGAGATTCTAATTGAGATTGAGTTTGGATTTCATTTATTTCTGGATCAACTGTATAGTAATAAAAAAAAGGGTTAATATTAATGTATTTAGTATATTTTGATATTATTATAGATATATGTAACAAGTAGTGTATTTACACGGCTCTGGTTCTGGTTCTTTTTCTTTTTCCTTTCCCTTTTCTTTTATCTTTCTTTTAGGTAATGCATATTTTTCCAAAACCTGGGATATTGTGTCATACTTAAATTTATCTGCAAGACAAATCGAGAAGTATAATTAACAATTCATTAATTTTGAAAATAAAATAAGAAAATAATAATTAAAAAATAAAAATAATAAAAGAAAATAAGATAAATAAATATAAATATACCTTTAAATTCTATGGCTTCATTACTACTAGTTGGAACAACGAATAACTTTGGAAATCCTTTAATTCCAAATTTTTCAACAATAGCAGATTCTTTTTCTTTAACTTCACCAAATATAAGTCTATTATGAAATTCGCAAGAAAGTGCTTTGTATAGAGGCGTTGTTTGATCCTTATTAGTGAAAAGAACTACTTTTGAAACAGTCTCGTTCTATTTAGACAATTAAATAAATTAATGAATTTATTTTGAAATTATGTATAAAGTAATGAAGTGACGTAGTTAATGCATACTTCTTTGGCAAAAAATTCATCCATTGTCAAAGCTTTCCTTATTTTATAATCGTTAGAAATAACATGCACAAAAGATGGTATTTCAGCTATAGCATAATCGACAATTGCTTTAGCAGTTCGTTGTCCAGTATAATCTAAAAAAAATATGCAACTAAGTCATTGAATGTATTAAAAGAAAGAATTTCTATTGAAATTTGGTAATGATATTATTTAATAAGAAATCACCTTTAGGTGTCTTTGAATATCTTCCAATAACTTCCTCATCTTCAATTGATTGACTTGGAAAAAGTTTGATGGTAGTATGGAAGAGAAAATCGAAAAGAAGGTGGAGAAGAAAGATGAAAAGGTTGAAAAGAAGGATGATGAAAAGGTTG